AAGAGAATTATTGCAGTTTACAAATTCAATTTCATTAGAATAGAACTACTAGTCTCTTAATGATGTTCTTTATTCTGTGCAAGGCATTGACTATCTTTACGTAATTTTCTCACTTCATTACTAAAATAATTATTAAATTCATTTGCAATGCTTCCAGATTTTTTTTATAATATCTCCACTTTCATTAGTTATCTTATCACAATTATTTTGACAATTCTGACCAGTTATTTCATTCCCCACTCTCCACTGTTTTCCGATATCACCGTCACAATTTTCAAATCTGTGGGTGTAATACTGATTATACGATTTATTTAAATTGATTTTACCCTATTTTGAGTGCCTCGTAAGCTTATTTAAAATGTACGTTATTGGGAAACTTCTGTTTTTTGCGTATAAAATAGTTTTTCTTTTATCTGTTGTAATATTTTACTCAAATCCATGGTTTAACTTTCTTGATTTATCGATTTTTGTCGACTTGTAGCACATGAAATATTAATGTAAATTTTTAATTTCTCTAGAAGTAATTCATACGCTTCCGAGGGGCATTTACTTCCAAAAACAAAATCCCAATCTTTATTAAAATCGTGTAATATAATAATGGAGAAATTCTGTTTACAAATTATGTTTTAGAGTTTTCTACAATTGTTTTTAACCCAATAATTTTCCAATTTATCCGTCATCATAGAGTGATCAGTGACATCTAAATGAATTACATCCGGAATCAAATTAAATGGGCAAGTCTAATAAATAAATGATCAATATAATTTACTAAAGTGATAATTTTTTTTTGTAAAACTTTATTATACATTAATACATTACAGTTATGCTAATAAAAACAACATATAATTTTAAACTTGAAACTTGTAAGGAAGCGTTTATCCATCGATAAGCCTCCTTAATAATTTAATAAATTAACAACAATAATTATGTAATAATATATATAATTCAACTTAACAAAATGTTTAACACAACATGTGACTAGACACTATCACCCAGACTTTTTCTCTTGAGCCTTCTTCTATCTTGAGGGGGTGGCGGATTGAGCACTGCTTCTCTGAGGTTGTTGTTGGTGTGGGTCAGGAGAGATTGGTATAGTCTGTTGAATAAGAATGAATGACGTCCTTGTGTATTGCACAGTTCCTGATGAACCAGGGGGCTCCAGTGATCCATCTCAAGCAACGATTTTGAAATAACCTAGATTCTGTTTATTTGTGTTTTGGATGCCTTAGCTCATATCCCGCTGGCGTAAGCCCACATTGGCATTATTAACATTAGGTAGATAAGGCGTTTGTTAGGAAAACTGAGGGGTGAACTGGCAAACAGGTCTGAGCCGGTAGAATTTGTTTCGCAGTTTTTTGAGTAGACTTGATATATGTGCGTTCCAAGTCAGCTTGTTGTCAAGCTCTAAACCCAGGTATCTTATTGAAGTGCATAATTGTATGGTTTCTCTCGTGAATCTTTTATTAACTGGTTGAATTTTCCTTTTTAGTATGAAACTAACGAGTTTCGATTTTGATGGGTTCACATTTGCTCTCTAGTTAGTTATTGCACCACATCTCAACTTCATATACGTACGTTGTAGTTTTGTTTGGACTATTTCACAGTGGCATTTGTTGAGAGATTGTCCTTGGCGAATTGAGCTATTGTAAGTTACTCGACTTGTGACGTTGGGAAGTCAGAAGCATACACAAGGTATAGAAGAGGTCCAAGGACACTCCCTTGAGGAACACCTGAATTTAACTCTTTGGGTTATGACTGGTGGTTTTCTACCCTGATTGAGAAGGTCTTATTTGATAAGTAAGAAGAATTAAGATTATATACATTATACAATATAATGCATTATGTAAGCCTTCTTTTAACTTGGAGAGTACACCAGGGTGCCCCACACATTATCAAAGGATTTTTCTACGTCGAGGACCATTCCCCAGCAAACTGATTTTTCCTCAAACGTTTGTAAGATTTTGTCTATAACTCTATGAAATTGATGTTGGCAGGAGTGGTTCGATCTGAATCCAAATTTTGTGTCCGGGAGCAAAGGTGCGAACGGAAGAAGGAGATGAGGAAGAATAAGTCTTTCATAAATTTTAGCGAAGAGGGGTAGAAGACTAATTGGCTTATAGATACCAGCCCGATATATAACATTCTACCACTAACTAGGCGGATGGCGTCAGGGTAGCAATAAGCCCTCAGCTATTTGAAACTGTTTCAGAAAATACCTGCTTATATTAAGAAAATATCGGGGGGGGCGCGGTATCCGAGTGGTTAAGGCGTCAGACTCTCGGCTAGTAAATCCCGCGGTCGTGGGTTCGATCCCCACCGTCGCCTCTGGACGACGCCTAAGGGGACCGGTGGCCGCAAGTGAAAGAAATTGACACGGCACTCATCAATCATAGTCATGGGTCATCAGCGACCCTGAGTTTGGTCCCAACCCTCGTCAAAAATGAGTTTCTTCGACGGAAGGACACCGGTACAACGGGGGCTCAAGTTTACATTTGTGTTGTGAGCCCAGTACAATAAGCTTTAGTACAGATCAGCTGCAGTGCTCAGGAGGGAACTCCTCCAGTACCTGGTATCCACCGCCACACAAAAAAACAAAAAAAAAACAAAAAAAAATTATCAGGTCTCCAGAATAGTGATTACATCATTCATTATTAACATGCCTCTTCAAAAACGTCACACCTTCAAAACACGCACCTTCCTGGATAAACGACGAATTGGAGTGACTTTGGAGTACCCTGATCAAATATAATTCCATTATCTTGCAGAAAGTTTATTATATAGAATATTAAAACAAGATTGTTAAGCCCTACAAAAGAAACCTTACATGAAGTTAAACGTAATTTAAGCAGAAGAAAAGAAAGCATGTTTGATGAAGCCAGTAAAAATAATAAAGGAACAAACAAGTCTCAGAATTACTTTTTTTTTTTTCTTGAAAAGTAGAATTGAACGGATTGCGATCCCTTGTGAACAAATCGACGAAATTGAAATGTTCTATGGAAACAATAAAAGCATGTATTTTCGCAGCTCTGGAGAATGTCAATACGCGGCACGTCCTGATCAAATTTATTTTACGCATTTATCGTGACAGCTATAAAACACTCTTTTTTATACTCTGTAAATATCCTCTTGTGTTGTTAGTTCTAAAGGAGGCATTTTAGTCTTTTTCACAAATAAGATTTTCCTCGATTTAAGTAACTTGTTTACTTACTTCTTGTGAATGTGGTGGATTCATGTTAGCACTGAAAATTGTCGAAGCTATAACTTTGAAGTTGTATTCAGCTTAACGTTCTTGCACGCTTTCATATATTACAAGTAGTTCTTTAGGAATGAGAAAGTTGTTATTGTAAATTTATTTTAAATAATTAATTTGTTTCCTGCCAAAAATCCTATTAGGCATATGTACTTTAACTTTAGTCTCATTCACACGTGGTCCGCTTGACCAATTAAAATATTACAATTAATTAAGGTTTTTAGTTGAGATTAAAAAAAATCAATGGCGAACGAATCAATCGAACCCACGATCTTCGGCTAGATACGCCGCTGCTCTACCACTTGAGCTATCGTGACCTCGATCCACTCGGACACTAACTTTCCATCTCAACCGCACCTTTTGAATTTTCCCTCCTTTTTGCTATTTTTCAATTCGAATCCCGCTCGTGACATTAACTTTTTTTCATCTCAACTAAAAACCTTAATTAATTGTAATTATTTAATTGGTCAAGCAGACCACGAAATTAGTGAATTTAAAGTTAGTATTATTGTTAGTCTTATAGTTTTTTTTTGGTGTAAGGAACGGATTAGGCATGGATAAGAGTTAATTATGGTTAGAGAAGAGCGTTCTAGTTGGGTTAGTGTTTGTGTTAAAGCTAGGGACGGGTTATTATTGGTTAGCTAGGATTAGGAATAATTTTGGTTAGAGTACAGGATTACTTGCTTACTTTAGATTTGTAATCGTTAGAAAAATCAGGCAGTTTGATCGACTTATACCTACAAATTCTCTGTAATGTATGTCCTGGGTGCTTTTCTCTCAGTAGTGAAAGTCGTCGCAAATTTGCATTCTTTAATCATAGTCAACAAAATATGACTGAAAACCTAACCGACCTACTTCTGAGCAACATCTTATTAGCTTATTCTTCATACGCAATTATTCCGTTAGAGAGGCCCCTGTAGGGCCAGAAAAGGTATTTGCCAGATGTTTATTATTTTCTTTTCAAAAGGAAGACTTAAACATTATGTGCAATAATAGTACTGCTTTGATAAGTCAGTGAATTCCTTGATATTCTTAGGTCTATATTCTGAGATACAGCTTCAGTAAGGTGGTGCGTTTGTTAAATTTGCACATGCCTGTTACAGTCAAAAGAGTGTTTTTAAATGTAAACATTGCTCCTAAGCAACGTTCACATACTCTGCGTTGAAGCTTGTCCAATTGGACCAATTGGAATCAGTGTTTTGTACGAGTATTTAATTTTGAATTAATTTTAAATTTTATTTTAATTTGATATATGTTTAAGATACTTATAAAATAATAGTACAGTTTCTAATACGATAGATTCACAACTTGCAAAAGAAACGTTTGTATAAAAAATAAATATCCATTTTTTAAAAAAATCCATTTATTAAACATGTGGGTCATAATGTAATCTTGGTGTAAGTAAGTATAAAGCTTATAAGCCAGGTGGCAAAATCACTCAATTAATATAATGATGGCGTTACGCGCATAATGTAATGAAAGACTATCGTTTCAACATCAAATTGAAACTGGAGTTAAATGGTGGCTTTTGGCTTTTAGTGATTGTTCTAATGGAAATAACAGATCCAACTAAAACCTTAAATAAGACAGTTTTCTAATAACGAATTCAGATGTCGTGCTTAGACCGCCCTTGGCACCTAATTTTAAAATCAGGCGTGAATTATTTTTTTAACTTTAAAACACCCCTTTCACAACGTTGTTGAAGGTGTTTACCGCGAAGCTTTTTCATAGATTCTTTTCTGTCGGCAAAATGAACAATGTAATAGATCCAATCCTCAAATATTCTGTCGCGATTGCTGGAGACAAAAAGCTAGAAGTTTACACGTTGTACTTCTCTTTTCTTAACTTTCTTGGATTCGATTGGAAACAGGGTGAGTAAAGTAGGATTGGAAAAGAGTTAAAACGATTTTTATAGAGAAATTGTTGGGTTTTTTTCACTATTTCTAGGCGGTATAAATGTTCCGGTACCAGCGTGGGTGAAATTTAAAGTTTATCCGGCTTCTTATCCAATTATGATGTTAATAGTCAGCTTTCTTATCATTAAACTCAATGTGGAAGTTGAACCAAAAACAGAATTCGAAATGATTAAGATGATCAACGGTTTCATAGTTTCAATGACTTTCATTGCAGCATTTGCCAAGCTACTTTACCTGAGGATCATTAAAAATGACGTAAGTACAAATTTTAAAAATAGATTCACCGGTGTTACTCATGATGATGATGGTGGTGATGGATACTAGAAAGTGGGAGTTTTTGTTTTTCACATCGTATCATTATGGCTTATTTTTTCCTCTAGTTAGTTTGTGCACCCGCTCGTTCTCTTAAGAAGTACCAAAGCATTGACTGTCGTTGCTACAATTCCTTTCCCTGGGTTTCATACCAGGTTTTGTATCCATTGAGCGGTTGCTGCGCATTTAAAGATTATATCTGTGGCTCTTTCTTCTTCCTCATCGGATAACCTACGGACGCCTGTCACCGGTATATAGCCCTTCCAACTGTCTGACTGTAGCCTTTCCAACTGTCTCAGTGAGATTACTAGTCTTGGTGATGGTTAGAGGGGGCTAAGTTTCCTCTATATTTCTTCTTTTGACTTTTTGGATCCACTTTGTGATGGAGGATTCTGTGTTTCTATTTCTATTCCTAATGGTATGTTGAGGGCCTCATTGTCTTGTCGATCCTCCTCTGGGAAATACGTTTGCCTTTCCGTTACCCAAAATTTTCTTGTCTCCTGGTATTCAAAATATCATCAAGTTGTTTTGATTGGGTTGGGAGATGTTAAAGAATTTAATGTGATTTTTTACTTGGTAATGCTTTAATAGTTGCTTCGCTATCCAATCTATTGGGGATTTTTCGTCATGGCTTTTAAGATTTTTTAGGCACAAGCGTTAATGGCATACATTTCGGGTGATTAAGGTTTATTTCCCGTCCCTTTAGATTGTTTCTGGAGCCTAAATGAGGTATTTATTGCTTCTCCTTGAATAAATAATTCCTGTATGTTTCTAATGCAATTGGTTGTTTTCATTGCCCTATGAAATATTGGTTTGCCAGTCTTTGTATGCGCCTAATGTTTGGATAACTTGTTTTGCTGAGCTTGGGTCCATCAGATTAGTGAATCATGAGATTGGTATCATTGGTTAATTTTAAAACTTCAATTACGCAATTTCGGTAAAATTGCAATCAATCTATAAAGCTTTAACTAGCAAACATTATTTATTTATACTAAAACAACATTTCAATTTCCATCCAAGCAATTATTACTATCCAAAAATCCACAACATTAAAGATAATCATTAAAATTTTAAAGTATATAAAAATCAAATTGTCAAATATATCAAAAGAACTCTTATGTACGTAGGCATAATCGAAAAGGAATCCCCCCCCACTAATAAAAATTAAAACAGCAAATCTCAACGGATTCTCTCAGCATTAAGATGTTTTTTCCAGTTTGAAAGCTTAGCAAATAACAATGAATTTTTTTTTTATTCAGACCATACCAAGATGCAGATTATTTATGATTAAAGATTGGGTTGACTCATCTAACATTTTGAAAAAGAAACGACCCGAAACGATCAACAACACCAAAAAACATAATTTTCATTTTCTTACTATTTAATTTTTCTATGCTGTTTATTATTTGAAACTTAAATGTATTGTAACTACATTTATATGTATATATGTTGTAGATACTCGAATTGCTCAATATGTCTGTGACTGTGGGACCTATAAGCGCTGAGAAGCCGGTAGTAAAAGATACGATCCGCTCCTGCGTCCTCTACTTCATCCTGCTGAACGCCAACGTCGGTACCTGGACCGTAGGCTATCTGTGGCTCCATAATGACTTACCGTTTGCAGCTGCTTTCCCTTGGGACGAGTCGACTGTAGTCGGATTTTCGTTGTGTAATTGTTTCTGAATTAATGGTAGAGATTGATTAGTAAATAAGTAAGAATATTCTTGACTGACTGTTAGGAGATTCAAAGCTTATTAACAAAATTGAGACGCCGATAGATAAATTCATGTTCTATCAGTGACCATGAAACAAAGAGTTTACAAAAATTTAGTGTTTTCAAAAAATGTTGTGTGTGTGTGTGTGTGTGTGTGTGTGTGTGAGAGAGAGAGAGAGAGAGAGAGAGAGAGAGAGAGAGAGAGAGAGATAGGGAGAGAAAGAAAAAGAAAGATGGAAAAAATTAAGAACTGAGAACGCGAAATGAAAAAATTAGACGGTATCTACTAAAATGAATATAGGAAAAAAAGAAAGTGCAAAATAGATAGAATGGAAAGGTAGTGAATAATAAAAGAAGGTGAGAAACGAAAGAGAAATCAAAAGAGAGAGAGAGGGGGGGGGAGAGATTGGGAAAAGCGAGAGAATCTAAGTAATTGAATTTGAACAAGTGAGAAAAATGGATACGATTAATTAAACACAAATTACACGATAAATTAAATTGTCCTAGCTAATGAAAAAGATAAATAGATATATAGGATGATAGATAAATCAATACACACTTACAGGCAAAAAATTCCACGCACTTGTAATATAACTTGATTTGTATATATTTTTATATATTAATCAATGTTTCACGTCTTTTAACTTTTAATAATTGAGGTTGTCTAAAAAACGTTTAAAAAATGTAAATTGCTAAGTAAATGAGATATTTAAAAAAATAAAAGCTATGGACATATAAAATTTGTTTTCATTTTATTTTAGATTTTTAATTAACATTTCAATATCGCGTATTTCCTTCTCTTGCCTTAATTACAACGCGAAGATGCCTCGGCATACTTTCTACCAGATCTTTCAAGATCTTGGAGTGCATCGGGAAGGGATGGACGTGCTCTTATTCGTCTTTTGAGGTTATCCCATAAATTTTCGATGGGGTTCAAGTCTGTAGAATGGGCTGGCCAAGCTAAGACCCTGATCGTATGTTGTTGAAGGTTTGTACTATGCGAGCGACATGTGGACGGGTATTATCGGGCATTAGAATAGGATTGTCGCTGTTTTCAACGAGGATAGGCAACGTTTGATGTTCCCAACTTTCATCCACATAACAAGTAGCCGTCAAAGACTCTCCACGAACAACCAACTCTGTGCGACACTCCATTGAAATTCCCGCCCACACCATCACTGAGCTGCGTTGTAAAAGGTTAGCTCTGGGAAAAATTACAGTCTTCGTACCTTCCATTTCGCCTCTCCACACTCTATCACGCCCACCTGAAGATAGTAGAACAAATCTACACATCTGTAAAAAGTATATGCCAATGGCTGTGTTCTCGAGCAAATGCGTGCGTGCAACTCTGCGTGGTCTGGTCTATTCTGGTCCTCTTTCGGGGCGAAAAACAATCAGTCCATACTGATATAATCTTCTGCGAGCAGTGCGTTCAGAAATTTGGACACCTCGAACTTCCTGGAGCTGATAAATCGCTTGAACAGCAAGGTGCCGGTTTCGCAAAATTTTCAGTCACAAAACGGTCAACCTGTGGTTCATTTACCCTACGGCGTCCAGAACCGGGCCTTCTATGGCAGGACTCAGTTTCTGGGAAACGTCTAACGGCTCATAGAGTTCGTGTGGTACACCGATAGTAAGAGCTACATACCTGATGGGCCGTCGACCATCAATAAGCGCTACACCCCCCGCACTAAGTGACATTTTTAAGTATAAAAAGTAAAATTAAGAAAACAAAGATGAAAACTAAAAAGTTTATGGCTTCAAAATTCAAATGAGACTGAATAAATATTTTAAATTCCGTAAAAAGTAAACATTTAAAAAACCGTTATCCTTCTTTTGGATTAAGGATTAAGTGGGTTTACTTCTAATTGATATTCCCAATTTAAAACATAGCATAAACAAATGTTTATTGGTAAAAACAATGAGTCAAATTAAGCGCAGATTTTTTTTTAATCGAGAAAATGAAAACAATCAATTTGGTGAAAATTTTTCCCTGTCACTGTATAAGTAGATAGAGAAAATTGTGATTAGAGTTCATGCTGGGGGTGAACTAACGTTGCACTAAGGAACTCACGTTGCGCCATCTTCAGTGATTTACTGGCGCAATCCGAAATGCATTTGAATTGTTCAACAAACCAGAAAGTGAAGACCGTTTAAGTGACTCAATGCCGGTTCAGCATGAAAATATGATTAGTTAAAAATAAATGAAACTATGTAATTTTGAAAATACCGAGTGTGTGTGAGAAAGAATATTAGAATATTTTAACACTATTGTTTCTTACATGTTTCTTCAGCTTTCAACGTTGACGTTTTGTGCGCCTTCTACTGTAGCATCGGCCATACCGTGCTGGACATATCTTTCCCTCTAGTTGTCAGCACCATGTGCTGGCATATACAACGCCTGGAAAAACTCTTATCAACTTTGGGCAAAGACTATTTCATAGACAGAATGATACTTGACAAAGCGGTAGATTTGCATGTACGACTTTTAAGGTGAGGCTTTTTGAAATGATGAGAAGAAAGAGATGAAATTTTATGGGTTTTTTAAGGGTTTTTAGACAGGTCATTGTCTGCTACAATCAACTTATTGTCGCCCAGTCCGTCTACACGGTACTACACTCTTGTATTTTAATTTATGCAGTTGTTAAGGTAATAATACTAAACATGTTAATAATTAAAAATGTCTTTTAATCATGTTACTTTCAGGTTTCAAATAAGGTAGAAGCCGCTTTGAGCTCTGTACCAATGCTTTCTGCTTCTTACGCCCAGCTCTACATGTACTGTTCATACGGCCAGTTGTTGACAGACAAGGTACAAAAGTAGAAATCGTAAATGTACGGTTTTTTAATTAGGTAATTTCTAGACTCATACCTTAAGTTTCGCCGCTTATAACAACGAATGGTACCGCTGCCCGCCGAAGTTGAGGAAGTCGTTGGTCCTTTTCCTGGAGGCGACCAAACGAGCCGTCCACCTGAAAGGATTTGGAAATATCCAAGCATCTCTCGCTAACTATTTACACGTAATAGACTAAAGATAGAATACATGTGTATTAAATTAAATTTTACTTTTATTTTTCAGAGCTTGCAAGATTCAGTCTCTTACTTTCTGGTTCTGAAAACTTTGACATCTGATGAAAACGCCTAATCGATTTTCAAACCAACAACCCTTAGAAAATAAATTTAAAACACAATACCAAAATAAGAATAACACATTAAAGCAATTTATGCACTAATTTGTTTGTTTTGTTTTTTTCTGTGTTGTCACTACTTCTATTGCTACTTCAAGAAATTTTATTTTGCAAAAAATCAAACGATATATATAATAACTGAAATACATCACAAAAATAAGAAAACCATATTAAAAAAGGTAAATTTCTTTTCTTAAATTTCTCGGTTTCTAAAGGTTCATCGACAATAACGTTCGGACACGTATCTAATATTTTTTGACCTAGAATCACCAAAGTTTCATCAAAACCCCTGATCGACTCAATTTGTCCACCCTTGTTTGTTGTTACGATTTCAACCAAAAATTTCTCTTGAAAAATAATTTTTTAAACGTCTTTTTGTGGGCATACCCGTTACGTTTGCGTACAACCGCAATTAAATTTTCAACTATAAAATGAATTAATAAATAAATACGGTTATAATATTGTTTCCATGCACGAAGACATGACGTCTGAAAAAAATTCAGAAAATACATTATTACATGCTAAGAGGAAAGTACTTGTTTCAAATCCATTAGCATGCTTTTAACCTAACCGTGTTTTATTTCAGACTTATTTTATATTTTGCGAATTCCAGAGTTATGTTACACTTCTTTTTCCTTTCCTTTTTGTGATAAATCAACACATACATATTGAGTAATATCCTCTGTTCGGCTAACCTGATTACCTCGAATCGACTTTGACTTTTAAATTTAACGAAATCCATGCAAAGCAGAAAACAAAGAACTGTTGATTATAAGAGATTTGTTTTATGTAACTGTTGACCTGATTCCGTGGTCAGAAAGAATTCGGATCCAGCCTGTTGGGATGAAGGATGAATAAAATAAAGGACTTAATTCTTCTCTTGAGACTCGACAGAAAAAAAGTCCAAATGCTCGCTTTCTCACAACTCGTTTTAATTTAGACGTATTCGTTCGTATACTAAAATTTTTGCTACACGTAGAATGAAAAAAATCATAAATCAAAATATTTTTTAGTTTTGCCCTTAACGCACGGTTTATCTTTATTTATAGTACTATTATTTAACACTCTGATAAAGAAAAAATGATCAAATTTTTCAAAGGTGAAAGCATAAAAACATGACGAAGTTGTGAAGCTTTTAAAAATGTAAGCAAAGGGAAATGATTTGACTACTTTAGAATTATAAAACTTCTTTTTTAGTTTATACCAAATCATAATAATTTTGTAATAGAGATAGTTCTGTAAGAAAAAAGATATTTACAATTCCCAGCAAAGATCGGTAAGAAAGATTTAAAAGGATAAAATAATACAAAAAAACTTGAACATTATAAGAAAAAATTACACAGAAAAAATGTCCTAATAAGAGAGGAAATAACGAACAACAGGTTTTGATGTCTTGACTGAAGAATTACCAGGATATTTAAGAGAAAAGAGGTAACAGCTTTGTGCTTATGATGACAATTTATAGAAGATTTAAACAAATGTGCAATAACAAGCAAAGCTGAAGAACGCTATGATTTTCATCGTTAATAATTATAATTATGGACATAAGTAAAAAAATAAATAAATGAAATTCTATTATTCATTTTTGAAAATATTTTTGTTTTATCAGGTTTGTCTGTACGCTGGCACAAATTATTTGTGTGCTATTTGCACGCTTGTAAGAAAAGAGAGATCGTCTCTTATTGTGACTGAGACACACTGATGAGGGCAATACGCCTAAACTTCTTATAGACCAACCCAGAAGGCTTACAAAAATTAACGGCAACGACCAAATTGCAGGTCATCATCCTTCAGACACAAAATGGACTTTATTGATCAGAAATAGTTTTCTTAGGTACCAAAGCCATTTCCTTGATATTGCCAAGGCAAAATGTGTGTTCTGTAGTATCTGTCTCTTTGATTGAACATAAACAATATTAGTCGTATGTCTAGTGTTTATATTAGTCCAGTTAGCCTCTCTCTGCTGATAAGGATTTCCTCTTTCCTCTTTCACCCATGGTTTTTTTCCATCAGCACAATAACCCCTCAGGGATTTAAATTCACCTCTGTTCCTTATATGACTACATACTATATTAATAATTTAAGTATAAACATGATATATACTATAGAAATGATAGGCAATTAAATAAGTTTAATAAATTAAAGAGTTAAGTGAAGTTTGTTAGTTATTACATTTTTAGAAGGTGCTTCTGTACTAGACATTGCTTTGTTGTTAACTTTATTTATTTAGAAATTGTGAGATGCGGTATGGTATGATGTAGGTTTCAGAAAAACATTTTCTTTATCGTCTTCTGTGTAATTGTGCCATTCTTGCGTGTCGTGTCGAGAGTGCCAGTGAGATTTTGCTATTTTGTGTTCATATACGTTGGATTTTGAAGGGGTGGGGAAGGATGTCAGTATAGAAAAGACATTTTTCTATAAGGCGACGGCTTCTTTGAGGTGGAAAGAGCCGACGAAGGGAAAAAATGTGTTGGTAATGGTTCGGTCAGATTATCCTTTCAGGATTATATAGAAAGGGATAAAATAGGAAAAGGAAAGCTGAATTGTTGGGAAATTAGACTATATGAAAAATATTTGATGTGTGGAATGTAATGTGATGATATAGGTATGTTATGTGTATTGAATGTGATTAATGATATTGGCGTAGCTGCGACTGAGTTTACATGTATCTGTTCTGTAATTGATGCTGTGTTTATCTCTGTTGATATAAACCATTTCTTAGAAATTACGTTTATGTTTGTTTTGTTCTGTGTGTAATACTTTTGGATTTTTGAAGTCGAAATTGTGTTGGTGTTCAAGATGTTGGGTAGCGAGTGCTGTAGGATTTTCCTTAGGTTTTTTGCAATCATAGATATGTTGCTTTACTATCTTGTCCAGATATTGGGATGTAAGTCCGATGTAAGTTGCCGGACAGTTTAAACAGTTGATCTTGTAGATTTCATCAGATTTATTTGTTATTGGGGTGGGATCTTTAACTTTGAAAAAAAGTGTTTGGATTGTTTTATAATTTTTGAAAGCTAATTTGAAGTTATCGGACGAGAGAAATGTGTTTAATTTGTGTGATAGGCCTTGAATAAATGGTGTGGAAATGTATGCTGGTTTATTTGTATTCGATATACTTAATGTAGTATTATTAGTAATAGTGGATGGTGTTAGTGTTGAGTTGTAATTCTGTTAATTATGTGTTTAAGGTAGAGATTGTTATGGAGGATCTGTATATCTTTGAGGATCTGTATATCTGGATGTATATCTTTATGTTTTTGTGGTGGAAGGTTTCATGGCTTACGGTAATCATTCTGTGATGTAACCCTTTGGCCGTGTTTATTATTGTATGAAGAGGATGGTAAGACGTAAAGTTGAGGTAGCGATCTTGGTTTCTTGGTTTTTGATACCAATCTGTGATTAATATGCCATCTGGTTGGTTTATTACGAGTGTATCTAAAAATGGTATTTTTTTGTTGTTTTCGATTTCATGTGTAACTTGTAGGCGTGGGCAGAAGGTAAATGTATCTAATGTAGTTTCAATTTGATCTGTGGGAACTGCTGTCAATATATCATCTACGTATTTAGTGAAGAAGAGTAATGTGAAAGGAAGTTGTGGTAAGACTGTATTTAGTAGATGTGTCATGATTATGTCTGCCAGTATCGGGCCTAGGTTGCTACCCATGGTTATGCCAAATAGTTGTTTGTAAAATTGATTGTCGTATGTAAAATATCCATTAACACAGCAGTGTCGGATCATTGTAATGAACGTGTTCTTTGATAGAGTTGTGTGAGGTATTATGTCGTTATGTGTTTGTTGTTAACCGGGCATCTCTTGTAGCGTGTTTCCATTTTCAGTCTGTCTGCTTCAAAATTATCACATCTCTATATTATGTACTTCATAGTTGTTACAGCATGTGCACATATCGTCATCTATGATATGAAATTGCTTTAGATATGAACGGTGTTTTCTATGCCCAGTCAGTACCTGTCCGATCTTACATGTGATGCGTATATACAATTTAAGGCGTAATTTTATTGTTTGCTTGTTTTCCATTAGTTATCTCTGCCCACATGATCTCGCATCGCTTCAGGTTACGGCGTAGCAGTCCTGACTCCAGATATGATTATGGCCTGAGCAGAACGATCAGCAGCCGTCCACTTTGCGCATTCGTCATCTTTCTCATTTCCTTCTACATCTGAGTGTGCTTTGACTCTTTCCGACCCCATTTTTCCATCTTTTTCAATCAAGTTGTACAATAGATATAGTACAATATTCTTGATTAGCGGATTATGGTTCGTCTCATATCAAGAGTGATTTGGCAGTCCATGTAAATGGTTGTAGATCGGTACGTCCCAATTCTTGTTTGCTGAGAGATCAATATCACTTCTTGTAAAACAGAGAAAGCCTTGGGTTTTTTATGTGAGCAAAGTTTTGCTAGTCTGCACTGCGTCTGGAGAATTCTTCTATCGGGTTGTTTATGGAAGTAGTCTTTCTCAGTATTTGTTAGTTTTACTATCCTTAGATTCTAGTTCTTTTGAAATTTGGCTTTTGTTTACATCACATAAGAGCTTTAATCCTATTTATTGTTCTCTTTTTACCAAGTTGTCTTTGTTAAATACCCTCACTATATATGGATCTCCGAATTTGTATGAAAATTTAGATTGGTTCAGACTAGTTTGGCTATCTAATCGTGTTGTTATAAGTGTAGCCTTCAGTATGTTGTTATTTATTCTAAGTGGACGTGGTTTTGTTGCTGGTAAGCGGGCTTTAAGAGAGATGCGGTGCTCACAGTTAGCACTTTTATGTTCATTTCAATAAAATTGCTCATCATTAAGCTATGTGTAGAAGAGCTCCAAGATTTTCTCCTTGTTTTTAACTTTCCGATGTATTATCTTTCCAATTATTATCTGGAATGGTTTTGTTCCCGCGGCAATTGATTCAGGTAGGCCGTTTTTAATGAAACCAATTTTAATATACACAATAAAACTTTTTACAGGTTTTGTAGGA